TCATCTCTTTAAATATAAATGAACTACACATAGATTTACTTGAAATGGCATCCAGTTTAAGAACGACAATAATAACTAGTTTTAATAAGTATGAAAATTCTTCTGTTAAATATGGGTCTCACAGCTGGAGACTTCAAAGAAAGGGACTACTAGGCCTGTGTTTTAGGAACTTGGAACTCAATTGAAGTGGTGTGGTATAGGAAAAAGAACACTGGGCCTGGGTCCCAACTCTGTCACTAACTGCAGGACTTTAGATAACTCATTTAACCCTTTGTGCCTCAGATTCCTTATAACTAAAATGAGATAGGTGGGATAAATGATCTGTAAGGTCCTTTCAAATTCTAAGATTCTTTGAGTCTAAATGATATAAGCAGGCTCAGCCTTCTCCATATTAATCTGGCAAAGTAGAAATTTTAGGTTAATGAGGGAGGTATTTTTGAAAGCCTGGCATTTCAACTATGTTTAAATCAAACCAGGAAGGTAGCTTCCTATTCCATCTACACATAGGGGCAGCCTAGCAAGCCATAGAATCAAAAGGAACCTTAGAGTTCATCTAGTCCAACCCCTTCATTTTACAGAAGAGGAAACTAAGATAGATTAAGTGACTTTCCCAAGTTAATTGACTTACAACGAGTAACAGAGCTGTATTTCCAACTCAAGTTCTCTGATTACAAATCCAGGCTTCTCTCCAATGATGTTCCTTCCCTCAGAGGGGCTTACTGTCTGCTAAAGGAGCTTACATACTTCTTTTTTTAATTTTTTTTAATGCTTCTTAGAAAAATGAAGATTTTCAAAGTCTTTGACAAAGAGTGATAAGAGATTTTTTTTAACAGACAGTAAGAGATAATAATTACACAATTATGAGGATGTGAGAAAGCCCAGCTTCATGCTCAAGAGGTAACAGGATAATGGTAAGAAAACATAGGGGTGAAAGACAGTAGTTGGGGACAGATATGAGAAGAAATATAGTACAGGATCCATGTAATGTGAAAACTTTACAAGAGTAAACTGAAATTACCAACCAATTCAGTCAGAAAAGCAAGAAGATGACCAGTTTTATTCCCCACTTGGCTGAAAGAAATGAAAACCTAATGTAATGAATATTTATTGAACACCTAGTATTTTCAAGAGTTTAAGGAATTCAGCCTAGCTGTGGAAACTTTATCCATCGACTCTGTTAAGGACTTCCAGAGAAAATTACATGGTTTTCATTGAACCTCCCATCCCATCCATTAAGAATGTTTGATAGTTGAGACTGTTTGCATGCTCAAATTGTAATAACTGGAAATATCTAACAAAATTAGGAATAAAAATTAAAGTCCTTGCAAAAACAAAAATAATTAAATTATGCTGAAAGATCTGAAGTGGTTCTATTAGTTGTAAGAAAAAAATGTGTGGTTGTATTGCAGTGGAGTACTAAAGTCAAGGTCAGGATCTAAATTTGTTTTGCAATTAGCATATTAAAACTAGATAGTTTATTTTTTAAAATGAGTTTTTATCGATGTCTTCTGATTTTTATGATCATAATTATCCTCAATATCCCTCCCTCTTCCTCTCCCAGAGTATCATCCCAAATAACAGTATTTTTAGAAGACTTTTCTATAATTATAAAAAATGAATTAATGTATAGTATATGCTGTAAGGCTATTATCCCAGTTCCCACTCCCACTGATAAATTGGTTAGCAGAGCGTGGCTACTACATACCCTTTGGGTTCTAGGGTTATCTGTCTCAGAGAAGTTAGTGTGTATGGGTGTGGGTGGGTACCAGTATGTATGATTGATTCAGTAAGATGCCACACCCTGATGCATTTTATCAGGTGAAAACAAATTTCAGTCAAGGACTTTAAAGAGTGTAAAGTCATTGAATAAACTGGCGTGATGTTGACAGGAAGAGAATTTAGATTAACTCTGGAAACTTGGTTATGCCCTATGGGTTGTCTATAAAAAAGAACAGCTCAGAACCCAGGCTATTTCAACAGTTGCAGGAGCAAAGTGGAAGGAGTAGAGGTGAGTTGGGAAGAACAAGTAGCTCAGAGGCAACTAGCAAAAGGAGGAAGAAAAAGTAATAATAATAATTATTCTATTATATTACATATTATAATAATATTTAATATAATTATTAATAATCTAATAATTATAATAATAACTTTTATATAGCACCTACTATGTGCCAGGTACTGTGTCAAGTGCTTTACAAATATTATCTCATTTGATCCTCACAGAAACCCTGGGAAGTAGGTGCTGTTATTACCACCGTTTTACAGATGAGGAAACTGAGACAAAAGTTAAGAGACTTGCCCAAAGTCACACAGCTAGTAAATGTCTAAGGCTAGATTAAAACTCATATCTTCTTAATTCAAGGTCCAGTGCTCCATCCACTGTGTCACCTAGCTTCCTATAAAAAGTAAGACTGAGCTGCGGCAAAGATGAGAGACACTGAGGAGAACCATTGGCCTTGCAGGAGTCTCTGAGCAGAAGATTCAGGCTGACACTATCAGCTGTACCCATTTCCTGAAGAACTAAACGAAGTTCTAAGAAAATCCTTTCCCCAGCTTTCCCTCCAATGTTTATCAACAGACACTAATATTCTGTACTGATTTTTTCAAGGGTGGGGAACCTGCCGTCTCGAGGCCACATGTGGCCTTCTAGGTCCTTGGTGTTGCCCCTGGACTGAACCCAAAGTTCACAGAACACATCCCCTTAATAAAAGGATTTGTTCTGTTAAACTTGGGCTCAGTCAAAAAGCCACACTTGAGAACCTAGAGGGCCACATGCGGCCTTGAGGCTGCAGGTTCCCCACCCTTGACTGATTCTACATCTTTTCAGTAACCAGAATTTTGCCTCAACCACAAAAAAGTCAAGGGTTAACTAGAGATAAATTTTGTTGTTCAGTGGTTTCAGTCATGTCCAATTCTTTGTGACCTCATTTGGGGTTTTCTTGGCAAAGACACTAGAGCAGTTTGCCATTTTCTTCTCTAGCTCATTTTACAGATAAAGAAACTGAGGCAAACAGGATTAAGTGACTTGCACAGGGTCACAAAAGTGTCTGAGGTCACATTTGAACTCAAGATGAGTCTTGCTGACTCCAGGCCCAGCGCTGTATCCTGCCAGCCACCTACCTGCCCAGAGATGGATACAAATATCAGTTAAGGCTAAGGGCCAAAACTCTGCCTGAACATTAGAAATTTTCCACACTTGTGGTTCAGAGCCATTGTACTCCTTTTTCTTTCACGTAAGTTCCCTAAAGCAGCAGAGGAAATCACATAGACCTGAGGAGCCTTTGTATTGTTCCAGGCTTAGAAGAAGGTAATATTTGTAATGATATTATGTATGAATGAATAAAAAAACATTTTTCTAGTACTCACTGTGTGCTGGGCACTATGCTCAGCATTGGGGATACAAATACAGGAAAGCAAGATAATAGTCCCTGGCCTTAAGAAGCTTATATTCTATTAGGGGAACAAGACACTTAGTATGAAAGGGAGTGGGTACAAGTGTAATAATGTGGCTTGGAGATTGTAGGGAAGTGTCAGGGTATATTTGGGTCTGTGTCAGATAAAGTGGAAGCTCAGCAATCAGAGCCCAGCCCTATGGGTGGGGCCTTCAACTCCTGTGTGAGGTGGCGAATGTTGGTGGCATGGATAACAGTGATGTTTGGAAAGTGCTGAATCATTATTTATTTATATTGCTCATTTTCCATTTTTAATTGTCAGTTATTTGTTTAAATAGTTCATGAGTAAAGTATTTCAAGTCTATGAAGTACCTTTTTTATGTTATTCTTTATTTATTCTTTTTGCTAATTCTGATCTTTGCTCTGATGAGTAAATGGTCTGACTGTGTACAGAGAATTGATTCAGAATAACTTCTACTTGTTTTCAGAAACATGGACATGGAATCAGGATGGCCTAAGTTCGGGTCTTAGACGCTTACTTGCTGTATGACCTTGGGCAAGTACCTCAGTTTTCCCATCTGTAAAACTGAGATAACAGCATCCATGAAACTACGGGTTTAGCTGGAAAAAAGTCTTTCATATTTATTCATTAAACTTGCCTCTTTACTTGTTATTTATATGAAAATAATATTTCAGAAGTTCATAGATTTAGAATTGGAAAGAACCTTAGTGCAATCGCTTTAGATGAGGTGACTGAAGACAGGAGAAGCAAAAGGACTTGTCTCAGGTCACAAAGGTAGTAAGCTGTAGAGATGGAATTCAAACCAAAATCCAAAGCCCTTTCTACTGTGGTGAGCTGTCTTCTTGAACTTTACTTCTAAAACACTGAGACTACTTGAAAACATTTTTTTCTTAAGTTTGTTAAAACTTTCCTGTAGCATTTGTGCGTTGTTCATATTATTGAATTTCAGAGTTAGTTCAGTACTTTTATATAACAGATGTGGAAACCGAGGCCCAAAGAGTATCTGTGGTTAAGGCACAGAGCCAGTTAGAGGCAGAACCCAGGCCTCCTGATGGCCATGTTTTTGCTCTACCTCCAGACAGTTTATTAAACAATGTAAAAATTTTGCCCAGTCTCTGTTTATATTTCAGGCATTTAAAATTAATAGAGTCCAAACTAAGGAAGTTTTAATTCTTACTTTATTTTTATTTATTCTGATTAATCAAAAGCACCTGATGGTATTTTGGTTACATGACCATGGAGATTAATGTTCACTGCTCCCTTCAACCTTCTCTTCCCACTCCATACCTTTCCTTCCTACTTTTTCTCCTTTCTCGGTCGGATTTAGATAACCTGAGGAGGCACATCCGAACACTGAGATTTTAAGACAAAAGTCTCTAGATGGAGACAAAGCTTAATTGTGAAAGGGTAACATTTACAACAAAGACAGATATATTTGATTTCTATTTGTGACAAACTCTCTCCTTTACTGTCTCTCTTTTCCTTTCCCCTCACAAATTCATATGGTGCAACATCTTCCGTATTTGTGAAGTCAGTTAAATGGAGAATGCCGCGGCAGTGAATGAAGCCTCCTTTTCTTTCCTCAGATCCGTGACCCTTATCCTTTTTTATATAATCAGCAAGTCCTTCCCCTCCCAACCACATATCACTAAGGAAGGTACAGCCCACGGACTGCTTTCTGACTCAGCAGTGTAGTTAAAGTGATTCTGCAGTTGTTAAGGAAGAGAATAAAAGCTGGTGATTTCTGATCTACTCTCCAGGATCTAGCAGAAGAAGCTAAGGTATGTATGTGTGTGTGTGTACGCATGTGGAGCAGAGCAACAGGCCAGTATAGCTTTGCTGTCATTTAGGTGTATGTTATGAACATTTAGGTAGGGTCTGTTGAAGCTTTATTTAAAGTGATTCTAGAACTATACTAGCTTACTATTGGTGGAGGGTGGGACCATGGCTGCTGAATGTTGTAGATACTGGCTATGGGGTTGCTGTCTGCGTTGATTAGTTTTACTGAATTGTTTTCTTTATTACAAGAGAAGGCTCTTTGGGGGTGAATTGGGGAGGGGTGCCTATGAGCAAATGACTATGATGTAATATATAAAAGGCATCACAACTTTTTTTTCTTTTTTGCTTTTTATTGAAGCAACCGGGGTTAAGTGACTTGCCCATGGTCACACAGCTACTAAGTGTCATGTGTCTGAGATTGGATTTGAACTCAGGTCCTCCTGACTGCAAGGCCAGACCTCTATCCACTTCGTCACTTAGCTGCTCCTATAACTCTTAATAATGTAATGGCAAAAAACCCAAAAAATCAACAAACAAAAAAAAACCCAAAAGCAAAAACAAACCAGGATGATTTCTGTAGAACTGGCAATTGTGTGGTATTAAGCAATTAGAGATTAGGCCATTTCTGAATATTTCTGTTTGAAAAATTGCATAATTATAATAGATAAGTAGACTTTATATGTCTAGTTTGTACATTTTATTTTCAGGTCAAAGCATGCTGGTTATCACTGTGTTAAAGGCAAATGGAATACAATTTAACAAGCATTTATTATCTACTCTTATCAACTGGGCAAAGTAACATACCAGGCACTAGAATATGTAACTAATTTATTTTATAATAGTGTTCTATTAAGAGGCATACATGTAAAACTCTAATATTGTCCAAAGTGAACTTTCTAGTCCCACAATGATCTAAAGTTATAAAGCATAAGTTTACAAACAAATATAGTATGGCCTCTTCAATACGACATATTCTATTTAAGTCATGGATTATTATGTCAGAAGCACAGTCAAACAGCTTATAGGGAGAAAAACATTTTTTTTTCATTCTCAGTGACCTTATAGTATATAATTAGAACACTGTTGCTTCTAAGAAAATTGAAAAGTTAAGTGTAGGAATTTATCTTTCAGATATGAACAGAGGATGGAATGGAGGTAAGATTTTTTTTTTTTTGGCTAGGTGATTGGAGTTAAGTGACTTGCCCAGGGTCACATAGCTAGTAAGTGTTAAGTGTCTGAGGCTGTATTTGAACTCAGACCCTCCTGACTGCAAGACCAGAGCTCTATCCACTGTGCCATCTAGCTGTCCCTGTAAGATATTTTTCATAGGCATACACAGAAGGAACATTGTAGTAAGACCTACTTCCTTCCTCCTTCCACATTTATCCCCATCTATTACAGCTGGTGCATTACAGATATGAATAGAGGAGTAGTCTACTTTTGCATAGAGGAGCAGGTATGTGAATAGCTTTGCTGTCATTCATATGTATTTTATACATATGTATATAACACATATAAAACATATATATTCAGGATCCTCCTGCTTAGGAGTATATGTATTAAATGCTAACCAGTTTTGATTTGTAACTTGCTTAACATCCAGAATCTATGTTGTTATATTTGTTGTAGTTTCACTCAAATTTCCACTTCCATAGCCTGATATAAGCATTCCTAATGGCTAATGAGGCTCAACCTTGCCCATGTGAGATTGGACATAAGATTGAATATGGCGGCCTGGGACATGAAGTGCAAATTGAGCACATCAAGGCTTACATTAGCCAACCACCATCTAACACAGACAAAGCTGTGATTGTTGTTCAAGATATTTTTGGCTGGCAGATGCCCAACACCAGATATATGGTTGATATGATTGCAGCCAATGGATACATGTAAGTATGACATACAAAATGCTGCTTTTCTTGAACTTTTGCCTTTTTCCCAGTACAATTTTTAGAGTTAAAATCTTCCAGGAAGATACTCTTTTTAAAATTTTATTTAAAAATTTTTCTATATTTTATTTTTTCCAATTCCATGTAAAAACAAATTTTTACATTCATTTTAAAAAATTTTAGTTCCAAATTTTCTTCCTCCCTCCCCAACCCCTTCCTTGAGAAAGCAAGCAATTTTATATAGATTATACATGTGCAGTCATGCAAAACGTATTTCTACCTAATATTCTCATGTGTGCATATGTTGAATTGCCCCTTCACACTCACCCTGTAGTCTAGGAGACTTTATGCTCCTACAAAGCAGAAACTGTGTCATTTTTATTTTTGCATCTCAGTTTGAGTTGAATTGATTTGTTGAGTCATCCAGTCATGCAAAATTAAACTTGCTTACTCATGTGGGATTAGAATTATACTGTGTGGCTTTAACAAAGAAAGCTAGGATCAATGGGTAGAAGTTGCAGGGAAGCAGGTTTAATCTCAGAGTAAAGAAGCATCTAAGCATGTGAATTGCCAAAAAAAGAGATTGAACCATTTCATGAACCAGCAGGTTTACTAACACTGGAGCCATTCAAATATAGGCTAGAGCATGATAGTTTCAGAAAAACCTGAGAAGACACATATGAACTGATTCAAAGTGAATTAAGCAGAACCAACATTGTACACAGCAACAGCAATATTGTATGATAATCAACTGTGAATGCCTTAGCTATTCTTAGCATTACAATAATCCAGAACAATTCTTACTTGATGGACTTAATGATGAAAGGACTTAATGATGAAACCTCCAGAGAAAGAACTGGTGGGTTCTGAAAGCAGATAGAAGTATATTTTTTTAACTTCCTTCCTTCCTTTCCTTCCTTCCTTCCTTCCTTCCTTCCTTCCTTCCTTCCTTCCTTCCTTTTCTTTCTTTCTTTTTCTTTCTTTCTTGTCTGTGTTCTCTTTTGCAGCATGGCTAATATAGAAATGTTTTGCATGACAGTACGTGTGTAATCTAGCTCAAAGTGCTTGCCTTCTCAGGGAGGGGGAAGGACCAGGGAGGAAAGGAGGGAATTTGGAACTCAAAAATTATTTTTTAAAAATATAAAAAATTGTTTTTACATGTAATAGAAAAAAAATGAAATAAAAACATTCTTAAAAAACAACAACAACAACAACAACAACAACACAGCTTAGTTGGCTACTGTTCAGGGTGGTCTTTTCCTCTTATGAATCCCCCTGTTGTGTAGGAAAGTTTCTGAATCAGTAGGAGATTGAATTAGATCAGGGCTAAATGCATAAAATAAAACAAATGTTAAGGAAACCAATAACATTGAAATACAGTTACAATTTTTTTTTTTTATGTTCACAGATCCTAGGTTAAGAATCTTTCAGACTAGATGATCTCTAAGGTCCTTCCTAATTCTAAAATGTGATTTTTTTTTCTATATCATTCTGTTGTAAGCTTTAAGGTAAAGAAGTTATACCTTCTGAAAAAATGTAGATATTAATTTGGCCATTGTGTTGGAGTGGAATTTCTTCTTTTCCTTCCCTATTTGCCATTTAAAAGAAAAGAAAAAAAATGGTCCTTGAGTTAAAGATTTATTTTCTTGTCCTCTGACATTGAGCAATAAAGAGAAAGTAACTGGTCTGAACTGAGTTGGTCTTTTAATAATCTACCTTGGCACATATCTACTTGGCAGGAAAATACCCACAGTGAGCAAATATTATATAGGGTAAAGGTACATGGAGTATATTCAACAAAGAAAATTTCATGGTCTTCCAATTAATATGACATGTTTGCCCCAGAGAGTTCCTTTAAGTAAATAAGCATGTGGAACCAGTGAATAAGACCAAGAGATGCCCAGATCTGCTGGGGTGGACAGTTCCCAAAGGGGCCAACTAGAGACTCCCCATCTTTTTTTTTTTTAGACACGACTTGTGATTTCTTTAGTAGAGGGAATTCCATTGGAACTACCAACAACAGTTGGCACCTTCGCTGCAACTTAACATCTTAGAGAGTTGCCTGGGCCACTGAGATTTGTCCAGGATCACAAAATCAGCGTGTGTCCTAGGAAGAGCTTGAATGGAGGTCTTCTTGGCTCCAAGGACAACTCTCTATCCACTAAGCTACACTGCCTCATGTACTATTTAGTTGTACTTTGTATAGTATTTAAAATCATTTTTGAATAGATTATATAATATTGTCTGCTACAAGCTGTGTACTTGTTATTGCAGAATCAAAGATTTTCTGACCTGGCACCAGTGTGTTATTTTGCTGGGAAAAGAGTTTTATCTTCATGCCCACATAATTTTCTTTTCTTTATACCAAAAACTCTGCCTAGGAAGGGGCATGGGATACAGTACGGTGCATTGGTCACACTTCTTGTCTTGTATAGAGTACCAATAAACTAAGAATTATGAGTATGTTGAATAATAGACTGGCATACTAAAGGTGAGTTAACTTTTCCATTTCATAGAGCAATCTGCCCAGACTTCTTTGCAGGGAAAGAACCTTGGCACCCATCTGATGACTGGTCTACCTTCCAGGAATGGCTGAAAACAAGAAATGCTAGAAATACTGATAAGTATGTGATCATTTTATTCCCTAAGTAGTATAGTTTCAGCAGGTGGGCCTTTTTACTTTTCTCATCTCTAATGCCTAGCACACAATAGATACTTAGTCTCTGAGTTGAAATGAGTGGACTTGTTGAATGAATCTATTCATGCCAGAGGGGACCAACTTGGAGCCTCTGAGAGAGGCACTGAAGGCTTGCAGGGCTGAGCTGCTGCCTACAACTTCCTGGGCCTGCAAGTTGACAGACTAGCCTGGAGAGATGAGGGAAGAAGCATAGCCAGAGACCTAGCACTTTTTGTTGAGATGTTACCAAGTTCTGACATGTTCTGATATGACCAAGAAAGAGAGAGGTTTGATGGACGAAGCCTGGAAAGAGTGAGAGAAGGCACTAAGTCCTGGAAAGCTTGATCGAGTTAAAAACATGATGAATGGTAGAGTGTGGTAAGAATGGCATGGTGATTCAGTAAGTGCACATAAAAGAGGAGGGAAGGAAGGAGCAGTGAGTGTCAGTGGTGAGCTCCCACCCTGCTGAGCCTTGGTCTGGCCGAGGCTACATATGGGGGCAAGTGGTGATTTGTTTCCTAGTGCCACCCACCTCCACCTGCTGGGGGTACAATGGCAAAGAGATATAAATCAGATTTTATCTTTTACAACTTGTCTGAATTATGAGCCCCTTTCTAATTCTGTTTCAAGATGGGATTGCTTTGAGGGAAGAAGAAAGACGCAAATATAAGGAACAGATGCATGTTCCATGACACATCACAGTGTAAAGGTCACTTTGGGTTCTTGAAGGTTAAATCAGCAACTGTGATTTCTGACAGGAAGTACCATGCTAAAAAGGCTTCAAGCTCAGACTCAGCCACAGACAGCATGCTGTCCCTCAGAGGCCAGTCTAAGTAAATTCAGAGAGTCTCAACATCAGAAGGCAGGCCCCAGTCGATGGCAATTTGTTTTGCCAGTCATAAAATTGTTTGATATCAGCATCAGTGAAATATTTGGACTGATGAAATCACAGCTTCTGAGCTGTGTCTGATGTGCAAAAAAGAAAAAAAAAGAGGTTGTTAACACAGTTTATTAAATAGGAGAAAGGGCACTCACAACTTGGGCTGCTCCTGCCACTGCCACAAATCTCCATAGTTTCTCTTCACATAAGAGATGAAAAAAAGAAGCATTGTGTTAAGTGCCTCTAATATTAGGTATTTCTGTCCTCAGGTTGTACTGCCCATTTATTACTTATTTCTGGTCCCTACACATTCTTACAATGCAATATTCTGATATTACAATAGGTCTGATAAACCCTAAATTCATTCGGTCCACTTTCTAAGGATAGATGAAAAGCACTTCACTGAAAGAAAGTGAAGAAGGAATGCTTTTGTTTTGCTTTAAAAGGGCTCCATGTACCTCCTGTCAACTCACTTTTGGTTAGTCAGTCAATTAGACAATAAACACTTATTAAATGCCTACTATGTGCCAGCACTGTGCTAAGTGCTCCAGAATACAAAGAAAGGCAAAACAGTCGCTGTCCTCAAGAAGCTTATAATCTAATGGGGGAAGAAAACACATAAAAAGAGGCTGAAAATAGGGAGGGAGGAGAAGGGGAAGGACGGTACCTGACCTGAGGCATAATAAAGATCAGAGGAGTGCAACTGGGTAGGAAATTAGGCCCTCCTTAAACAGAGAATCTGGAAGTTCTCTAGTGTCCACCTTCCATCCTGTCCAATTGGAGGGAGGGCACTCAGGGGAAAGAGGTATTGATGAAGTGTGAGTTTTGGGGTTGATGTGATCTCACAGGATGCTAAATTTCTGGAGACCATGATGAAGACTAGAGGTTTGGTCATATGGGCCACTACAGCAGTATTGCAATGGAGGCAGAACGTGATCTATGAACATTTCTTACATAGGAAAGGCTAACCAGGCTAGGGACCCCACTCTCTCCTACTAGTGTGACCTCAGGGTCTTTCTTCCTTTCTTAATCTTATATTTAGCCTATCTTCCATGCTGGTGGTCAACTACTTGGCTGATTGACCATCTAGACTCACTCCTTAACAAAATCACTGACCTTCTCCTGTCCCTTTCTCCAATATGGATAAATCTATCTCTTTCAAGTTACTGTGGATTTAATAGGGGAGATATCAAGAAGATGAGCCAAGATGGCCAAGAAGTAGGAACCAGTATAGCTGAATTCCCCTCCATGAACTTTTTTTTTTTAAGTGAGGCAATTGGGGTTAAGTGACTTGCCCAAGGTCACACAGCTAGTATGTGTCAAGTGTTTGGTCTGAGGCCAGATTTGAACTCAGGTCCTCCTGACTTCAGGGCCGGTGCTCTATCCACTGCGCCACCTAGCTGCCCCCTCATGAACTCCTATAAAAATATCTAGAAAATGCATCAGACCAAATCCTGATAGAGAAATCTAGAAAGCTACAGTCAGCCATCTCTGCAGTCCACCTTGACATAGGGAGGCAAACAGCGAGGTCTGTGGACACTGGGGTTGGAATTGGGCTGGGAAAGCACCTTGTGGAACCTTCCAGAGCCCAGGCAGAGCTAGAGCCCAGGCAGAGCTTGAGCCTGAGTGCAAATGGAGATTCTGGACCCATACCAGGACACCCAGATGCATTCTGGGTCACTGCAGTTGGGACATGTGCCAACTGGCAGTTTTGTCACCTACTGTGATGTTACAGATTTGAACACAGGTGGAGTTACTGAATAAGGAGGCCCTGGGTGGGGTACAGACGAAGGAGGAAGCCAGCATGACAAAAAAGTTGGGGAAAATCATCTCACATAGTCAAGGTGCTAACACACACACATACACACAGAGTTGGGGACAGATAAATATATATATATATATATATATATATATATATATATATACACACACACACACACACATATTATATATATACATATGTGTATATATATATACAGATATATGTATATATCTATAGACAGATATAGAGATTTTATATACACACACACACACAATCTCAACAGGGAAATAAATAGAAGGAAAAAGGGAGAAAGGAGGAGAGGAATATAGTGGGAGGGTAGACTAAAGGAGGAATCAATCCTAAAGGGGGAAAAACCCTAAGCAGTCACAGAAATATAGCTGTTTGAGGTGACAAAGAATGGGATTCTGAGGGGATCCCATACATTAGGGAATGGATGAACAAATCATGGTGTGTAAATACGAAGAAATACTATTGGGCTGATCTCTTATCAGCACAGTTCTCATGACCAATGATGATTCTGGAGGACTAATGATGAATCGTGTTATTCACTCCTGATAGAGAGGTGAAGGATGTAAGAGTGTAGAATGAGACAAATAATTTTTTAGACATGGACAATGTGGACATTTTTTTCAATTGACTATAAATGTTTGTAATGGGTTTTGCTTTTCTTGTGTTCTCATTTGGGAGCAGGGGAAGGTAGAGAACAGGAAGGTGAAAAGGTAGATTTTGGTTGATTAAAACAAAAAAAATATTTTAAAAGAAAATAGAGGAGATATCTTGTACAGTTATGGGGCTTGATAGGATAAAGTTAGTGTGATGCCATTTTAAAATAGGAACATTTATACTTTGTTCAAGTGGTTATTTTCCAAAAGGCACTATGCTGGCAAATCTCCATTTTTCAATTTTCTTAAGCAGGTCCATTTCACATTAGATCTTGTAATCTCTAAGGTTCCAACTCTAAAATTATTTGATTTTATAATTCCACTTTTACACAACTTGACTTTTTGTTGTATTTAAGACTCTTCATAGTTTGGATTTATTATAGATAGAGACTCCTGCCTTTAATTTTGGGTATTCTTCTTTTGTTTGTGTCTTATACAGAACATCTATGACACTGTCAAACACCTGTTGTGACTATATCTCTCCCCCTTTAACACCTCAGGAATGGTTGGAAGCCCTCTATTTCATTAAAGTCCATTTCCCCCAGCAGCATTATATTCAATTTTGTTAGCTAAGTTATTCTTGGTTGTAAGCTCAAATCCTTTACCATCTGGAATATTATATTTCAAATTCTCTGCTCCTTTACAGCTGCTAAATTGTATGTGATCCTGACTGTGGCTCCTTGGACGAAACTTGAATTGTTTCTTCCTGGCTTCTTGCAATATTTTTTGGCTATAACATTTCTAGGAATTTTCATTTGGGGGTTTCTTCTATTTTCACTTTACCTTCTACTTCTAAGAGAGTTGGTCAGTTTTCTTTTAAGATTTCTTGAAACAGGATTCTGGGCTGTCTTCTTGGTCATGGTGTTCAGATAGTGCAATGATTCTCAAATTTGTTCTGTTTGATCTGTTTTCCATGTCAATTGTTTTTGCAATGAGATACCTTACATTTTCTTCTATTTTTTCAGCCTTTGAATTTTTATTTGAATAATTCTTACTGTCCCATGAAGACATTGGCTTCTAATTTGGTATTTGGTCCATTCTAGTTTATAGGGAGTTTATTGCCTGTGCAAGGTTTTGTACCTCTCGTGTTAAGCTATTAATCCCTTTTTAATTTTCTTCCATAGCTTCCATTTCTTTTCCAACTTTTTCTTTAAGCACTCTCATTTCATATATAGAAATATTTAAAACTTTTTTAAAATTCTTGCTTCATCTCTTGTGTCCAAGCTATGTTTTTTTTTTCCTGAGGCATTAGAATTATTCTCATCTGAGTTTGTGTCTTGAGTGTCCCTGACACCGTAATGTCATTATAGTGGGGTTCTTTTCTTGTTTGCCAATTCTTCCAGCCTACTTCCTGACTTTAGACTTGATGGTAGGCCTGCACCCTATCACACTTCTGAAGGGAAGATCTGAGTAGGTCCTATTGCTACTTTCTTGATGTTTTGAGTATTATGTTATTCCATGATTTCAGGGATAGACTGGGGACCTGCAGCAAGCTCTCAATACTCCAAAAACAGTCTATTTCTGGGCAAAGTCTGATTGCTGTCCCCCTGGTCTGAGTTTTGCAAGTTCCAGACTTGAGTTGGAGTCTAAGCAAGAGTACGCTGCTGCTGGACTCTGCCTCTATTAGCCAACTAGGAGTTCTGTTGGTTCAGTGAGAGAACCACAGGCTCTGCTTTTGTTTGGGATATCTAACCTGGTTATTCCTCTATCTGCTGATCTAGATGCTGGAAATGAGATGCCTCTCTGCTCCCTGGAGCGCCAAGCCAAACTTCTACTACTTGTTTCTGAACGTCCTCATTTCTTGGTTATAACCCAGGGTCTCCCTACCTGTGAATGCTCTTGTCTGCCTTTTCCTTTTCCCTTTCCCCCCATCCCTTTCGAGGTCGCCTTCTTAGTCCATCCTGGACCAATGGCCCAGAACTAGGTATTGGTCAACAAAGTTGCGAATTGGCACCTGTCTCTGTTGCAGTGTTCCATTATGGGTCTCAGGGTATCCTAGTATGGGCCTGGAACCTCCTTTTGCCCTGCCTCTCCCTTAGTATACCACATGCCTTCATGTTCTTGCCCTGACCCCAAATTTAGTATCCCCAGACCTCTCTGTCTGTCCCCCTATGCCAACCTGGGCTGGTCAAAGAACTCACTGACTTTTTCTGCATTTCCTGTTCAAGATTTGGTCTGGTACATTTTCTGTTACTCAGTCATCTTGGCTCCATCTCAAAAATCTTAAGCTTAAAATCAATAAGTAAAACAGAACTTTATGTTCTTTATACTCTTCTGTCAGTTGTATGACTGTAAAGATGTGATCTGCTGTAGAAAGTTTCGTATTGGTTGGCATGGTGTCACATATCTGTCATCCCTGTTTCTGGTAAAACTGGTGGATCCCCAGAGTTCAGGAGTTCTTAGCTAAGCCTGTCAGATGTCTACAGTTATTTGGCCCCAATATGGTAAAGTCCCTTGGTGTATGTGTGGGGGTGGGGCACCAGACTATCTAAGAAGGGGCAAACCTATCCAGGTCAAAGCTTCCATGCTAATCAGTAGTGAGATTGGGCTAGTGACTGGCTGCTGTATTTCCAGCCTGGGTGAGACAGGGAAACCCAGTTTAAAAAAAAAGTCACCCATGAAAGCCTGCCTCTTTCCTTCACATGCTTTCATCAAGGATGTCTTCCGGACAAGTATAGAGGTCTCATGATGAACTTAAGTAAATAGGCTACTATTTACTTGTGCACCAAAATCTCCTGTTGAGGTAGGAATGCAAGATGTTTTATAAAGAGCTAGATGGGGGTCTTCTGAATTGTCAACTTATATTTTGATATCTGATAACTCCAGTGGGAAAGTAGGCAGTGGTCAGGACAGTGATCTATTGAGAAATATGATTATTGATAAGGGAATGAAAAAGGCCAAAGGCTTGTAGACTACCAAGAGGCCTTCTAACTGTATTAAAAATATTTTTTTTCAAAAAGAATTGAAAGGTAGTAGATGGGGTAAACATTGAATGACAATAAAAAATGAAATAGATTTTATCTTAATATACTAGAATAGATCAGAAATGCTTGATTATTGACATGGATATTATGTCAAAGTATGTTGTTTTTGTGCAGTTAGATCAGCTATTAAGAATAAAGGTCAAATAAGCCCTAAATTAGAAGAATAAAGAGGAGAGGCCACCATGTATGGTTAAATAATCAAACTAATCTGTTTAAACAATCTATTGATTCTAGAAAAAACAGGAAATGGATAAAAGTGGATAAAACTGACACAGTGGAAAGATTACTGGATTTATATTGTTGTTGGATGTAGAGACCTTTTATGTGTTGAGGCCTATGTAAGGAAGTGGATTGCTGTTAAACAGAAGTTGAGATACTGCTGAGTTGCTAATAAACAAGGAAAGTGAATGGGGCTAAACCAGGGCCGGTCACATATGAAAGAAAACTCAGAAACAACTTTTACCTGCAGAAGCCATGCAAACCCTTTTGTATGCTCTTTTAAGACTCAGGGAAATTAGCCTTACCAAAGAGATACTTTCTCAAAAATGCATTTCTAGCTTTATAATTGTTTAGCTTACTTTCCTAATGACTTTCTTTTAATACATTCATAGTGACCAACTAATGGTGATTATGGGTTAAGAATATCATTATGAAAGCAATACCTGACTATACCCATGTAAATGTAAAGAACAAAACCCCTCAAACTTAATGCTGTATAATTATAATGACCTAGTTTTGTCCCTGAAGAAGAGATAAGAAAATGCACTTCCCTCCCTTCTTTGTCAAGGTGGGTAGGTGAAGTTGGGAGTCTACATATGTGGAATGTTACACATATTGTCTGACTCAGCTGATAGTGTCATTGAACTGCCTTTTCTTTCTTTTTTTTTTTAAGCTTTGTTATAAGGAATTGGCTTGCTGAGTATAGTAGGGGAGGGAGGAATATATTTAGAAATGAAGGCGATATAAAAACAAAAGTTATCACTAAAAATTAAAAGTTTTAAAAAGTAGCATTATAAATGGAATGGATATGACCTAGGCTGAACATTCAGGCATGAATGAGTGTCTTGTCTGTATGTGCTTATATGTGTGTGCTTGTGTATGTCAGAACTAATTGTTTCATGGTTCATAGTTCTTTGCTAGTTATTAGATCTCTGAAAGCAAGAATTTCCTGTCTCATGATTATTTCTTCTAATTTCTCCTGTTTTCACATATCTTGCAGCATGGCTTGATTTTGGCATTGCTAATTCAACATTAGGGTTTAAGCAGTAGGAAAATCTGGTTCGATGTAAAAGTGCCGTTTAACATAGTCAAATAAAATTTGCAGTAGTTACAATGTATTGTTATTGGTGATAGGATTAATGGCTCAGTTTTCTTTCTAGGTATTTGTGAAGCTAGTCTTTATTTCTTAATACCTTTTCCTTATTCGTTACAGAGAGGCTAATGTTGTTCTTAAGTATCTGAAAGAGAAGTGTCATGCCCAGAGAATTGGTATTGTTGGATTCTGCTGGGGTGGAATTGTTGTACATGATTTAATGATGAAATATCCAGAATTAAAAGCAGGAGTCTCGGTCTATGGTAAGCCTTTGTTATATTTTACATAATGCCTTAAATACTGATCTTGATATGTGCTTGTGGCCAGCTTGAAAAATAAACTTTTTTGCTTCTTCCTGGGGTGAAGCCAAGACAGCGGAGTAAAAGCAGTGACTTGCTTGAGCTCTCCCCTAGACCCCTCCAAATACCTGTAAAAAATGGCTCTAAACAAATTCTAAAGCAGAAAAATAAACTTTTCCCCAATTTGCTAACTCTTAAACACAATACAAAATCAAGAGGTACAAATATGGAGTCACAAAACTAAAGAATTTTAGTGTTGGAACCATAGAGATTATAAGGTCCAATGTGGACTTAAGAAAACAGAACATGAAGCCTTGCTAGCATAGCCTTTCAGAGAATAACCACTTGATAAATTTATGTTGAGTGTATGAACAAACAGGGTATTTAATACTTTTCAGAGTAGAAACAATAGAAAATACTTTTTAATTACTGTGGAAAGAGGTCCTAGGTAAGGCTTTGCTACCAATTCCCTGTGTGACATTGGGCAAATGACTATTTCTTTTGACGTCATATTCCTTGTTTGCAAAATGAGAGGCTCAGATTAGATGATTTCTAAGATTCCTTCCTTTTAAAAATTATCAAATTATATGATTTCTAAGATTCCTTCCTTTTAAAAATTATATAAAATAAACCTATCTATACATGACACTTCAGTTAACAATTTTAATTGCTAAAAAACAGAAAAGAACTAGCTCATCCCAGTGCCTAAGTCATGTATAAATTACAGATTAGGTACCTGAGAACTGACATTATTCTTAAAGGCTGCTAGGTTATAATAGGTATACATGGTGACTAACAAGATTCACTTCCATATATAAAAGACCTAACTTATTCCTAAGATATATTGTGTACACTGAGGACCTAGCTTTTACATTTTTGTAATCTATAATGTGCATATGTAGCTATAAGTCTATCTTTTAGCCTATCTACTATTCAACCTTCCTTTGAGACTGACAAATAAGATTATTTTTCTATGTTTGTTGTAACCAAATAAATGCTGGTATTTTACTTAATCAACTCAATGCATTAAAATTCTTTTCAATGTTTTCTAGGCATTGTCAGAGATTCTGAAGATGTATATAGTTTGAAGAATCCTACACTCTTTATTTTTGCAGAGAATGATGCTGTAATTCCTCTTGAGCAAGTAAGTGGTCATTTCAAAGTGGGTTGTTTGCATCTATATCTTTACCAACACATGATGTGACATTCTCTGAGAAGCATTAGACTAAGCTTCAATTTTCTGGTACAACCTTAAAATCCCATCCTTTCCATGAGGCCATCTGAAAGGAATTCTATGTACGCATGTACATATGTGTACCTCTATGAAATGCCAGTTCTCAGTGAGAATATAAACAGGGGAAGAGAGCATATGCTTCTTGGGGTCAGGGACATTGCTTTTATATGGTTTGGTTTGTTACATGGCAGACACAATATTCAATGTGTTAAAAGGAATGTGAATTCAATTTTGTAAGCTTTCCAAGTGAAGACCCATAGCACCCTATCTTAACCCATGTGCAATTTCAAAATATGGGAGAATGAAGCTCACACAGAAAAGACTAGCTCCAGCAAAGTACCAACCTGTTAACCTTCTAATGGTTCATTCACATAATACATTTTATCAGCCAAAACTGATTATAATTGCCATCCTAACATTAAATGGTCATAGATTTTCCCTTTGCCACTAGTAAACTTGAAAGTAACAGAAATCTATTCTATCTGTAGGGCAAGTTTTGAACAATAGGCAATTTGGAAACTGGCAACAAGAAAATTGTTAAAACATTATTATAAAAACGTTTTGCTTGACAGGTCACTTTGCTGACACAGAAGCTGAAAGAACACTGCAAAGTTGATTATCAAACTAAAATATTTCCTGGGCAAACTCATGGGTTTGTGCATCGCCAGAGAGAAGATTGGAACCCTAAAGATAAACCATATATTGAAGAAGCAAGGAAGGATCTAATCAACTGGCTGAACAAGTATATTTAGCCAGTAAGCAAGACACAGCCCTTTTCAAATTAACCAAAATGGAATTCTTAATAATTTTAATTTTCAAAATTCGTTAGACTATTAAAATGAATTTTACCTAGAAATTATAATTTCTATTTTGAAAATTTATCATATGCCTTGTTTATTCATTTAACAATTATTCTCATGTTTATAGATAACCTTCTCTAGATAAGCTCCATGATAGTAAGATCTAAATATAAGGAACACATAATTCCAACAGTGGAGTTTAGTATCGGGAAAGAATACTGGGCTGGAGGCATCAGGAAAAAAGGCAGCGTTTGAGCTGGATCATGAAGGGAACGAACTAGATAAACATAGCTGGGAAGTATTCCAGGTGGAGGAGAAAACCAGGAGAAAAACCACTGTTCTCTCCCACCGAAGGATACCATTTTTTCTTTGCAATGGATTTAAGCTACATACCGGGGGAAAAGCAACCTAAGCATTATGTGGGAAATGTTACCCAATAAAAGAGGAGGCTTGATTTAATTTGTAGAGCTTTGAGTAACAATGTAAAATGAAAAACGAAGATTTTTAAGGAGTCCCTAAGCTTATAGCAACCTGCACGAAACTAACTTTACCATGACTCTTCCAACTGTTGTTGCCCTTGCCTATTTTTCTCTTACATAATTCAGTTTTTGAAAATCTGTTTTCTTTCCTACCACAGATCTCACAGCTATGGGAGGAGCTATGATGGTAGTAGTTATAGATATTTCAGAATCACCTCCAAATTTCTAGATAATCAACTGCTAATGAATATACTAATATACTGTCTTGTACTTTAGGGCTAGCGTCAGAAAAATGAGTGCAATGCTAGGACAACACATTAACCACAGGAAATTTAGTGGGTCCTAGAGGGGAAAACTGCAGATGAGTCCACTTTAATTTATGAAATGATCTTGGTTTGCAAGCAATCCAATTACAGTCTTGATGAAAATTAAATTTATTATGATAATCATCCAGGACCATGCCTTAAGAGTGTTAGAGACAATAGCCATCTGTCAAAAACAAAAAACCCCAAACATCCACAACATGAGGCTAAAATAATTTTAAAACCAAATTTTATGAATCACCTTTTGCATATTTAATGAAGGTTGAGACTTTGGGGGCTAGTCATTTTTGATTTAGGGATTATTACCTTCACCTATTTCTTAGTGTTCACTGTTACACTTATGTATAATATGAAAACCATCTTTATTCTCAAAACCCTTTCATATCCACCACATAATTTAATTTTTAATCACACACACATAAATTAGGCAGGGTATGTGGAAGCATTCACATTTTACAGATGTATAAATTTAAGCTGTGTATGATCAGCTGATGGTCATAAAGTGATGGAAGGCAACTATAATCTTGTGAATCCCTGTCACAGGAATTGTCACGGGGCTGCGCCCTGCCTATTGGAGTCCTGGCTTCTTAAGCAGGAAGCTGAGGGTCACAGTCTGTTGTGTGAAAGCAAGGAAGTCTTAACTGACCTCTCCTCTGTGGACACGAAGCAATCATGGCTGGTTCGGCTCTCCTCTGAATGGCTAAGCTTTCCCGTGCACATCCTGTGCACGTCCCTGACACGAGGCCTGCAACGATGGGATCTACTGACTGGCTGACGGGCTCTGATCACATGATCCCAAGGTGCCTTGAGGGCTATACAGGCCACACCCAGCTAAAAGTAAACAGGAGCTTCCGCTATTTTGTTGTTTCCTGCCTCATCCATGCGTCTCCGGGTCACTGAGCACCGAGCTGGTCTCATGCTCACCACTGCAGCGGCCGCGACAAATCCCCTGCCCAATGCTCTTTTGCCTATGCTACTGGTTCTTGAATGGTGCACTCTGAGGTTTACTAGATATGCCCCCAAATCTGAAGCTACTTCCTGAGCTTATGTTTGCTGCCTGCCCTTCACAGAATTTGGTATTTCCAAGGTCCCAATAGCAACTCTTATCTATAGATGTACTTTTACCTCCTCCACTGTGAGTGCTAGGGAAGTAAAGAAAGGAGAGGGAAGGGAAATAAAAGTAGAGTATTCCCAAGTCTGGAGTCTTGCAGGACTGGAAAGGCTTCTTTTATAGCAAATGCTAGACTTTAAGCAAAAAAGGTTTGAAAACCACTGCAGTAAGCCATTAAGTTGTCAACTAAATGAATATTGTTTTAAATTGTTTTTTCAAATAGTGTGGTAGAATTAGAACAATCTACACCCATTCATTAATGTCCTCAATTAATAGGAACCCCACTCTAAAGCCATTTCTCTGCATGATGCTAGGTCAATAGTTTTCTCTTAACACCATGAGAGTGACTAGTAAACCCAGGACCAGAGCTGTTACAATATGTCTCACAATTCAACGACTAGTAAAATATATTTCAGTTTTCTGTCTTCCACTTTTCCCTTTCACAAATGAAGTCTCATTTAAAAGCTCTTACAAATAATAAACTATTCTTAAAACTTGATGAGAAAACAGATAAACATCTAATTTAGAGATCCCTTTAATGTAACAAATACAAAAACTTGTGTCAATCTCTCAACAAATACAGTTTTGAAACAAGCTATGGTTAAACAGCTAATTTATTATTGTCTTTTGAACACAGCAATTACAATGTCAAAAAAGGGAAAAATAATAAATAGCTGTGGTTGCAACACGATTCCTGTTTATTTAATCACAGCAGTAGCTTTACTACATTTTGTTCCAACTTAAGTTTTCATTCTTCAGATTCTCCTGGTTTGCGGATATCATCAATCTTCAGAATCATCCTGACCATTTGTGTTGCAAGCGAAATCTGTTGTTTTTTGCCAATCAAAGTTTCTATGACATGTTGTTGTTTCATATCTGGGAAAACAGAAATGATTTGGATGTCACAATACAATCATGTATAGTATCAAAAATTTAGTCCAACTATTATAACATAATGAATCTCAATTCTGATAAATGAAGGATAAGGTCAATATACTGAAAGGAATGAAGTTAAATTACAAAAAAAAGGACAATCAGAGGCCTTCTTCAATAAGGCCAATCTATAATTAGCCTCTGTTCCCATTTCTAGAACATTAATTCTTTTAAGTATGTTATGCATATTTTTTGAAGTCTTTTTTTCCCCCAAATAGTAGAAATGATAAAATCATCAGCAGCTCATCTCCTAATAAGTCTCAAATTAGTAGAATTTAATAATCAGATTTTGCCATAGTAAAAATGCAAAATACTCCAAATGTGGTCTTGAAGAGTAGAGTAGGATGACACTAGCACTTTACATCACCTGGACACTATTTCTACTGGTGTGAGATTAAACTAGTTTTTTTTTTTTTAAAGGGAATCAAAATTTGTTCACGTCAAATGGTTAGCTAAAACCCCACATTCTTCTCATTTGTTCTCCTTCACTGCCAAACTTCTTGAAAAAGTTGTCTATATCAGATGGGACACGTCCCCTATTCATCTTCACCTAGTATCCTTAACATCCTGTAATCTGCCTTATCCCCAAACCAACTATTGAACTATTCTCTGAAAAGTCATAATTTAACCGCCAAATCTAATGGCTTATTTTTTTTCCAATCCTCATTCTCCTCCACATCTCTGTAGCAGTTAACAATGTTAACTACCCTTGGCTCCCAGAGACACCACACTGTCTTGGTTTTTCTCATTTCTAATTCACTAATTACTCAATCAGGGTGTTTAAAGGTGGGTGTTCTTTAATGTTCTGCCCTGAACCCTTGACCTTTTTCTCTTCCTACAATCTCTTCCTTGCCAATCTCAAATTACATCTAAGCTGTTGAGTCATATCTATACCTCTAAGCCCAGCTCTTTTGAGCTCTTCTAAGCCCAGCTCTTTTGAGTTCTAGCCCTCCATCTGTAACTACTCATGTAGCCTTTCCCTCTGCACAGTATTTTTAAACTCATCAATCACATCCAAAATAGAATTTGTCTGTCACTTTAAACTTTCTCTTTTTAAAACACATTATTTATAGTGGAACTACCATCCATCCAATCTCGAATGTTAATAACCTCACTATCACCTGTGACTCTTCTTCATTGCCCAGTTACCAAATCCTGTTGATGTTTGTTTCCTATTGCCTAGCTTTCCCCTCTCTTCTATTTCCCAAAATATACTTCAATCATCCTCCCCACTTGCCCCAAACTGACCCTGTGCATCACTGTCAAGCTGGTGTGGCATAGTGGAAAAGAACACTAGATTTGGAAGCAGAGGGCTTAGGTTTAAATAAATCCCAACTGGGCTTTTAGCTCTTCATTTGTAAAATGAGATGAAACTTGATAATTTCTAGGGTCCTTTCCAGATCTAAGTCCTATGATTCCAATATTTCTTCAACATACACATACTCAGCCATGCCCTCTTTACAATGGCTATCTGTTAACATCCTCAAGTAAAGTTTAAAATCCTTTGCCTGATCTGTTCAAAATTCAGCAACATCTTACTTTCCCAGACTCACTGCATTATTACTCCTCATCACATATTCTGTGCTCTTGCTACACTGGACCAAGTTCTCAGGGTTCTAGGCCCTGACTCAAGCCATTCCTTAGGTCTAGAAAATCTACTCTCTTCTCTGTCTACCTTCATAAGCTCAGCTCAAACGACTGCTCTCCAGTCATAAAGTCTCCTCCAATCTCCTCCCTCTTCCTTCAGATTCAAGAAAGCTCTGTTTTCCACATCTATGTACTTATGTCATACTTTTGTGTAGACTAGTTATCTGTGTCTAGGTTCTAAGTAGCTCCCTGAAGTCAGGAATTGTGTTTTATTCTAAACTGTGCATGCTCCCTCCTCAGCCAAAGTACTATACATATATTTACTATACATTTATCGATATTAATAAATGAAAATGTTTCTTTTACATGCGAACTGCCAAGAATAGTTTCATTCTGAAAAAAAATCTGAATACAACAAAATACTACATTCAACTAAAAACTAGGTATAAAAAATGACAGCATAATATAGTCATAATATAGTAACTCTCAACCTTCAATTTATTGATAGTTCCACCAGCATAAACTTTTATTCTGCTAACAAGACTGACTGAAAGTAACTGTGGATCAGTCCCTCTACAAAACCTCAAATTTAATCCCAATCAGTGGGTTTAGTCATTTAAAGATATACTAATAAAGATAAAAAATGTATCCTAACTCTATTCAATTTAAAACAAATTAAAATATTACAAACATAAAAAAAATCCCCTACCATTTGTACCCTTGTGCAAGCAGTCAATACCAAGGGCAGGATTCATTTCTTTTACTTGTCTGGCTCGTACATCGGTCATAGTTTGGATGGGATTCATACCACTATTTTCAGAAAGGGCCATGGGAATGACTTCTAATGCATCTGCAAAAGCTCTCATTGCATACTGCTCCAAGGAAGGACACTGTAAGTTAACATAAAAGATTTTATTATAATTTGATAGCAGGAAAATAGAACTAACTATAAAGCAAATAACATTCACTTAAGGAGAAGGAAAAAGCATTTAAGTGCCAGGTACTGTACTAAGCACTTTGTAGATGTGAACTCATTCAATCTTCACAATATTCTTGTGAAGTAGGTGCTATTATTATATTCCTTTTACAACTGAGGAAACAGAGGCACACAGAAGTTAAGTGACTTGCTCAGGTCACAAAGCTGTTAAGTGACTGAGAAAGGATTTGAACTCAGGTCTTCTTGAATCAATTATCTATTGTGCCACCTTAAGGAGATAACATGCCACACCCTGAGAAAATATAAACTCCTTGACAATAGGGAATGTTTCATTTTTATATTTGTGTCTCCAGTACCAGTACCAGCACCAGTACAGGTGCTTAACAAATGCCTCTTGATTTTGCTTAATGTTAAATAGCTCAGTGAAAACACATCAGGTAAGCATTGTTACAAGAGCAATTAGTTTCACAAGAATGATGTTTATGTACCTAGAATACGTGGTACAGTAATGAATGTGGGCTGAAGATCAAGGAATTAAAAGTCACCGGAGCTCAAGCTCTAGCTCAGAATGTGGCTGACTCTTCAGAATGTGACTTGGGAAGGGAAGTGCATGATGTACAAATGATTGGTGTTTATTAAATACGTGGATGCACTCAATTCTACTACTGGACGAAAGAGTCTCACTCATCGTGGATGACTAAGAAATTAATGGCATGTTCTGTATAACCAAATAACTAGTAATGGGGTTTAAGTATGTGTTTTTTAATTACTATATAACTAGTATGATACCGTCTCTATTTCACCACGGCTTCAAGCTATTCAAGCATTACAAAAATGTTAATTTTTTAAATATAGAAGTCTGACATAAAACACATTCAAATACTCTCATTTACCTTATCAGCTTCTTCACTAACTGCCAAAGCACAAGATATTTCAGCTGCACCACCTCCGTACACCACACGATTATCACGAACTAGGTTTCTGATCACACACAGAGCATCATGAAGAGATCGTTTCGCTTCTTCAATTATCTAGAAGCAAAATAATGTTTTAAGTACAAGTTAATTTTAATCAATGCCTATATAATTAAATATAGATTAAAATGAAGATGTCATGTACATAACCTATTGCCTAAATATCAGAGCCACTTCTAATATTATAATAAAGACATTTCACTTGAAAAACTGAAATTTGCTTGTCATCAGGCTTTTCACTTGTTCACTAAGTTCTATCATAAACATGTAAAATAGTTATCCTTTCCACATCACAGGGGTTAGGGCTTGTGAGGCGCATCCCACTGTGATCTGGAAAACCTGTGCAAAAGCAAAATTTTTTGGCCCTCCCTTTGTACCAGAGTAGAAGTCTGAATTATTATGGCATTAAAACATAAAATATGTCCATATTTTACAACACTATAAATATATTTCATGCATTTCTAAACTTTTTGTTTCACCTGCGGATCCCACAAAACTCCCCCAAAATTCCCATTTAGTTTCTTATGTCGACCCACAGTGGGGATAATGGAGATGCAGAAGGGATAACTGTATACTTTACATATCAAGATAACTCTACCAACACCTTATACTTATGTTTTAAAATTACTTTTCTAGTAGTACGAGTAGCTCCTAAGTTTCAGCCCACTTTAATCTCAACTGTCTACACTTTCAAGATAGCAAGCTAATGTTGGGACTGCAATGTCAGTGAGTGAATGGAACAAAGCTGTTCCACATAGGAATTAAATCACAGCTTCATCATCTTCCATGTCCTAAATCCAATAAAAGCCCTGGAGGCTGGTTGCAGTACCCTGGAAGACAGTGTTTCTGCATATCCAGTCATGTTTTATCAACGAGCAGATGCTAACAGCGTTACGTGAGAGTGTGAATAACTTTTTAATATTACAAAGTACTTAGAAAAAGTTAAGAACTAATGCTCTAAATTAATCTAGCCAGCTGTAAGTTATAATAAATTTTCTGAATAAAAACATTTAATAATCACTAGCTCAAAATCAGCAGGTATGAACACAGCCCTTTCTGTTCCAGTCTTTATATTACTACTGTAAATCGGAAAAAAATGACAAATTGTAAAAATCTTGTGATAGAGACCTTAAAGACTAGAAAAATTTATTGTAACATGCGACTTATATTTGCAACCTTATATTTGATATACTAAGATGATATATTTTAACCTAACAATGCATGTTTAAAAAAAAAAAAGCTGTACAGATAGACATTTTGTAAACCATTTAATAGTTCAAACATATATACCTTGAATACCAGTTAAGCAGATACATGGGAAAACACTGGAAGGAAGGAGGCCAATGTGTAGAATTCCCTTTAACTTTCCCGCCCATATTATGGCTTAAGGGTAAAGACTTAAAGTCAGTATTTGGAACTAGTGAGTAGAAGAACAGAAAAAGGACCATATCACGGACAAATAGTGATTCACTTAGAGGTATCTCAATTTAAGGGAGATAGGTAAACTACAGACATGTTTATTTAAGTGGCAAAGTAACACAGTCTCTTAGGCAATATTCCATAGTCCTCTTGAAGTTTCACCTCATAGTCATTAAAACTGGCTAAGATGAAAAAAGATGGGGAGGGGTTGTGGAAAGACAGGAAACTAATACAGTGTTGATGGAAAGCAATGAAATTATGTTAAAGTAGTCAATATGATGTCCATCTTCTTTGCCCCTTAGATTCCACCATGTAATGTAAGGTCAAAGATGAAAGAAAGGTTCTCTATCTACAATGAAATATTCACAGAAGCACTTGTAGTAGTAGCAGCAGCAAATAATAGGAAATACAGTAGATCGATAAGGGAATGGCTAAGCAAATTGTGGTACAGAAATGTAATGGAATATTATTACTCTGTAAGAAATGAAGAATACTGAGAAGCATGGGAAAACTTGTATGAACTGATACAAAGTGAACTAAAGAGAACCAAGATAAAAATATACATAATGATAAGGTAAATGAAAAGAACACATATTGAAAGAAGAAAACTGAATGCTGTCACTAAGGAAATGTACACCCTAGGGGCAGCTAGGTGGCACAGTAGATAAGAGCACCGGCCCTGGAGTCAGGAGAAGCAGAGTTCAAATCTGGCCTCAGACACTTACTAGCTGTGTGACCTTGGGCAAGTCACTTAACCCCAACTACCTTAAAAAAAAAAAAAAAAAAAAGGCAGCACATCCTTTCCTTCTCTATAGAAGTTTCAATTATGGGTGTGGAACACAATTAAATGTTAGAGCTGATATATAGTCTTAGTTTTGCATAACTTTTTTTCCTTCTTTGTTACATAAGATGGTGCTCTGGGGAGGGGAGAAGAAAGATATACTTTCAAATGAAGATTACATAAAACCCAAAGCTTTCAATAAAAGAAGATGAGATCTATCTTTCTATGTTGGCAAGCAGAAGTTGTAACCATCAAATTTACTGCCAACCTGTATGCCAAATTCAGATGTAACCTGATAATTCCTTACCATTTTATTTCCTCCTCTAATGAATATGGTCACAGCCCTGGAGTTCTTACATTTCTCTATAACAAGCATTTTGTCTTTGGTTGTTCCAAATGAGATCTCTTTTACCAGACCAGCAAAACCAAGTTTCTCAGGTGTGAGTTCAGAGAACCGTGGAACAATGCGCCCTCCCGTTGCAATAGCAATAAGCTAAAAAAAGGGAAAGAAAATAAACATTTTATGAAGTCAAATATCACAATGCGCCTTAGCACCCATCCGAGACCCCCTTCAATTCCCCTACTTTACCACTCTCACTTTGGAAGGTGGCCACACAGGACTGAATCTTTGCTTTGTGTGTTGTAAATACCACTTTTATGTCCCCCTTCTCCTCTATCCCTCCCTCCCCAACACACTTGATGGTCAGCCTTCTCATGAACCTCTCATGCACTTCTTTGGTAACTCCAATGTGTTGCTGGGCCCATACTTTAGGACCTCACAGCTTGGTAGTGCCTGCTAGTGCTTGCACTCCACTGGTGTGTCTTTCAAGAATGCAGCCTCATCTCTATGCCACAATGAATTATTGGAGTAGGATTTGAAAGAATCATGGAACGTGATGGCCTCAGGAGAGCTAAAGCTACCCTTGAGATCACCTCAAATGGAAACATACATGGTAGGTGTAAAGAAGCTGAAGATTTTATTAATGATGATATATGACAAAAGTGGCATAAAAGAATGATGGGAAGCATAAAATTTCAGAGTTGGAAAGAGACTTCAGGGTTAATTAATCTAATTCCTTTTCCCCAGAAGCCCTAACTACAACATTTCTGACAAATGGGCATCTAGCTTTTACTTGAGGTCTTTAAAGATTTGTGACTAGGACTAAAAATTGCTGAGACAGAAGAACTTCTCAGAGAACATTTTAATATTGTTTCCAAGTTCATTACTGAATCCTTTATATCATGATTGAAAATTTCAAGCTCTCAATTAGTAACTTCATAAAAAAAAATTCCCATATCTTTTAGAACTGCAAAATAAAAGGCTGATAAGGGAGAAGAGCTCCTTCTTTTCATTCCTCTTTCTCCCTTCAGACTGGCTCAATTAGCAATGTTCTTTATGATCCCTTTAGCTACAGCTAATAAGTTGGATAAATTTAAGCCTCAAGTTGATGGTGGGAAAAGATCAGATAGATCACAATTAAAACATCATGAAACAGATTTAGGTCACCACGTCTACCTTCAACACTACCAGCATGGATGCTGTCACATTAGCAAAGGATATAGATAACTACAAAAAAAGTGGAGCAGTAATATATAGGACAAATTTAAAGAGACAATGTGAAACCTTGAGAAACTATGAGAATAAAAGGAATAAGTATAACATCCTAGGAATATTGTCTATGCCTATGTAGGATTTGTGGGAAAATAGGAAGAACTGCACAGGACGAGAGAAAAGCACTTCTATCTATACTAGTGGAAGGAATACCTATACTCATGAAATCATGGGTTTGAAATATCAATCTTCACAATCTGAATATAAAGGAAATAATCTTTTGTGACTTGTCCCTTTAAACTATAAAAGTCCAAAAAAAATAGAGCTTTTTTAAAAACAAATTCTAGAATGACATATTTTTCACTGTGCCAGTGTATTTTATCACAGATACACAATGCCAATCATATAAATTAAGCAACTGACAATAAAGAAAAAAAGAGTAAAACAGTTATGTCTAAAAAGTCTCTAGAATAAAAAAACCACATAAAAAGATAGAATTTCTTACTTCAATTTCAGGTCCCCCTACCCAACGGACAGCAGGCAACTTATTCTGAAGGAGTAAATGATTTGCTTCATCATCAAAGCCCCACTGGCAAATAGCTAGGTTTGCACCAGTGAGTTTAATCTGAAAAAGAAAAAAATCTAATGTAAAACAGACAAACAAACAAAAAACACAAAGACAATATACAACTTTTAATTCCACATGCTTCAAGGGTAAGTATGGCTGTAATACCTAATTAAAACTATTCTTCAAAAGGTGAAAACAACCCCAGTGATTTCCTTGGGATAGCTTGTTTGTTTTTTTAAAGAAGTGCTTAATTAACCTTCTTTTATCAACAAAGGCATATTTAGAAGACTTAAATTATATGATATGCTGTATCAAAATGAACTGATCCCTAAAAAAACTATTCAAGATAGCACAATACTTAGTATAAATACTTTCTTTCATTCACTATATCTACAGGACCACAGTAAGACTCACTTGTTCAATCATCTCTTCAAACTTCTCCTTTTCATATTTCTGCAGGGCTCTGTAATCTTCTACAGATGTAACATCAAGCTTATGTTTAGTTTTTGGCTTGGGTGGCTCAAATGGACATGTAAGAATTGCAATCTTAGCATTTTTCACTTCCTAGACAAAAAAATGAAAATATTTTGTTTAGATGATTTAAAGGTTAAAAAATATCAAGCTACAAAAGGAAAAAGAGGAAATGACTTACTTTAGGCATTTGTGGATGACTAAAATCCTTATCCACAATTACTCCCTTAATAAGCTGAGTGTCTTCAAGTCTTCCTCCTACTTTGCCTTCTACTTTGATTAGCTCAAAGTCAACATCTCTCCGTTCCATATCAGCTACTGTCAGGACAGCATTTACAGCAATTTCAGCCATTTGTTGGTGGCAGCTGTTAACTCTGATGAGAAAAAAAAATGAACATACTTTAGTTATAGCTTTGAAATTTATTTAGTAATTACTAAATTATTATTATTTTTTTTTTTTAGGCAATTGGGGTTAAGTGACTTGCCCAGGGTCACACAGCTAGTAAATATTAAGTGTTTGGTCTGAGGCCAAATTTGAACTCTGATCCTCCTGATGTCAGGGCCAGTGCTCTATCCACTTCGCCACCAAGCTGCCCTGTAATTTGTAAATTATTAACAGATGTAGAAAGGGTCTTGTAATTTCCTCATCTGAGAGTTCCCTATATCAATGAAATCACCACTTCTATTTGTCAGTGTTGGAAATAATAATTATAGCAAGAAGACAAAAAAAAATTTAAAGGAATAAGCACTGATATCAAAGGATTAGAAAATCTGCATACACAACTTATCATTTGCATTTCTATGCTACACTGCCAACAAAACTGAGAAAATGGACAGATATATATCTTGGGAATGATGTCAAATGTAACAAATGTTTGCGTGTGTTAACTTGCTAAGGCTCACAGGAGAACTTTAAAAAGATTTTTGGTGGAAATAAAGGATCCTATGATCCTAATTAGATGGATATCACCTGTTCATGGTTATTTTAAAGAGAGCAAAAATGTCAATATTTCCCCTAATTTTTAAGTTTTATATAATATTAACCCAAAAAATTATGTACCAATGGGCTACTTTATAGAATTAAGAGAAAACTGACTCACTTCATGTGGGAAAAAATAAAAAATCAGCAAGAATACCAAAAGATGTCACTAGAAAAAAACTGAAGGAATACCTGCTCAGAGATCCCTAAATACACTACAAAGTCTGGCTAAGGGAGAAAGACATATTAAGGATGAAAAGACAGGTTAATGTCAGATTTGTTGCTTAGTAAATTTTCAATCATGTCAGACTCTCCGTAACCCTATTTGGGTTTTCTTGGCCAAAATAATGGAGTGATTTGTCAATTTCCTTCTCCAGTTCATTTTACAGATGAGGAACTAAGGTAAGCAGGATTCTGTGACTTGCCTGAGGTCACATAGCTTGTAAGTGCCGGAGGCTGGATTTGAAAGTCAGGTCTTCCTGACTCCAGGCCTGACACCTAGCTGCCCTGGTATAGGATTAGAAAGGGTTTAAAAATCAAAATGGAGGACTTTATAGATTTGATTCTAGAGAAAAGAGGTAATTCTCAACAAACTGGAGCTTAATGAATAAGAGTGAAAAGGAAGGTGTTTCAACCCTTTGCCAAACTACAGATTTCATGAGAGCAAGGTCTTTATCATCTTGGTACCTTCCCTAGAACCTAGTAGGGTGCTTAACAAATGACTGTTGAATGAAATGCATTAAAAGGATCCTAAAGGCCATGTTTGCAAACCCAAAGAACAGTCACTTAATGTTTACAGAAAGGTCCAGTATTCACTGTCTCCTCTCAGACTTTGTCTGTCAGGCTACTTCTGGGGCTATATATGGAAAGAACAGAAGCCATGGTGGTTAATAAATAAATTTAAGTTATACAAAATGGAGTTTTTATTACATGAATAACCTATGAGAAGTGATTCGAAATTGCACTATATTGGAGCTTAATTTTACTCATCACTACACATAATGTATGGGTTACTAGACATGACTAAATCTAAACAAAATATGAAACACAAATATGATAGGAAATTATTAGTCATTGAAGTCTACTTAGCTTGCCAAAAAGTTTATTAGCTATATTTCTAAATTATTTATCAGCCTGGTTTTTCTAACAAAATGCTTGTTTTTAAAAGTGGCACACAACAAATACAAATACTGGTGATGTTATGAACTTACACTTTAGAACCAAGAGTTGTTTTTGCAGTCTGGATGAGAGGTTCCGTGTTGTGAACATCAACTGGAAAACTATCACTGATTTTGTCCAAATGTTCAATGGCAATTCGAGCAGCCTGCTCATAACCATCTGCTATTCTGATTGGGTGAATCCCACGATCCAGCAGTTGTTCAGCTTCTTCTAACAAAGCACCAGCCAGAACTGTGAAATGGGAGAAAAACAAAAAAACAACAATACAGAAAAACTCAGTAGAAAGCTATTTAGGTAAGTCTTAATAAGCATTTTGTTTCTGAATTTATTGTACACAATTATTGCAGGAAGGCAATTTGGTGTAATGGCAAGTGTCCAAGAATTGGCACCTTAAGATATTCTGTCACTTACTTAAAGATGTTCCACTAATGGTTAGTAACGTGACATTAGAGTTCAAGTGAGACATTAGACTAACTGCAATATGCATATAAATGAACTCAAGGGAGTAGATGAAATCACCAAGGCAGAGAAAAGAGAGCAAAGAATAATGCACTGGGAAATATCCACACTTGCATAATTAAGTATGGTCCCAAACCTCATGGAACTTACAATTTAGGAAGGGACCAAGGCCAGCCATCATTCATTCCTCTCCCCACTCCAGTCTGATTCTCTGGACTCTGTTAACATGGCCATGGCATGGGTGCCTTTTCTTTAGGTGTTGTTTCTCTTATTAGAATGAAAGCTCCTCTAAGCCAAAGACTGTTCTCTGCCCCCCCCCCCACTTGTATCCTCAACACTTAGCACAGTTCCTACTACACGGTTAAGTTGACTTAACAAAGGTCACAAGTTGAAAGCAATATTTTAACAATTCCACTGATCCTCTGTTGTATAGCTTTAATAGTTAGAAAAAAATATCCTTTTATTAAACTGAAATCTGCCTCCCGGTAATTTCTTCCACTGGTCCTGGCTCCACCCCTGAGAACAGGGGTTCTTATCCTTTTTCTGTCTTGTGGACTCCTCTGCTAATCTGGTGAATGCTATGGACTCCTTCTCAGAATGTTTTTGAGTGGATAAAATAAAATCTGTTAAGGTTACAAAGAATACATTTTTTTTTTGAAATATAGTCATCAAAATAAAGGAAAAACAACCACAAAACAATTTATAGACCCCAGGCTAAGAATCCCTGCTCTAGAGAAATAAAGAGTAAGTTTATTATCTCCTGCATATGACAGTCCCTGAAATATTTTGAGACAGCTATTTTGTCTCCTTTTAATCTTCTCTTCCAATTACATATCCATAAGTCTTCCAATCTTTCCCATAATACAATTTCCAGACTGTTACCATCCTGGGCACTTTCTTTTGAATTTACCTACTTTGTTTGAGAAATGAACAAAATGGTCCAGATATATTACTTCCTACAACTTAATAAGTACACTTCAATTAATTCAGCCTGATAGTACTAATCTTAAGCTGAGGGGCAGCTAGGTGACAAGTGGATGGAGCTTGGCCTTAGAGTCAAAGGACCTGAGTTCAAACAAAACAAACCAAACCAAACCAAAACCCAAACCCAAAACTAAACACAACTCAAAAACAAACAAACAAAACAAAAAACCTCAACAACCTGGCAACAACACTGACTCATGCTTAATCATGTCCTTACATAAACCAGATTTTTCCTATCTTGTAACTGTGCAGCTAATTTCTGAGACTCAATCTATAAGACATAAAATGTAAGAACCAATGTTTTTGGACCAGCTTTCTGAAATAACTCTTATCATCTAGTAATTTAACAGGTATGGAATATTTTTTATCCAAGTGATTGAAAAAATAGGGCAAAGGATGCTATTTCGGACATTAATACTGGCCAATACTAAGTCATTAATCAACTGATGAAGTGAAAAAAGTGCTAGACCATGTATTAGAGGTCCTGAACTAAACATCTGGCTCTGCTATTTATTATCTGTGTGACATGAGTAATTATATATCTGCCTTTGAGCAAGCACACTATGCATAATATATAAAGGCATTATGGCACACTGGACTTGAAGTCAAGAAGACTTACTAGTTCTGTGGCCACATGTAAGTCATTTAACCTTTAGGTTCCTTTCTCTGCAAATGGATCAGAAAGATTTTTGGGGATAATATTATTCTGTAGTCTACCTCAAGGGGCTGTTTGTGAGGCTCAAATGCAAATCTATGTAAAGCAAGCTTTAAAGTTAAAAAAAAAAAAAGCCAGCAATTGTTAATAATAAGACTATACCTTTTATCAGGAAAAAAAAAGTCAGCCTACTTGACCAGTGATTTAAAATTGACTCTCCGTGGATATGGTATTCATTTGATTAGAAAGTTACTTATTGTGGTCAACAACAAAAACCACCACCCTTGATTGCTTAGTCTGCTTATTTTCAGATTTTTCTTACCCACTACTCCTGTAGTCCCATCTCCAATCTCATCATCCTGTGATTTGGAAAGTTCAACCATCAGTTTAGCAATCTGATGATCTACATCCATCATGCTTAAAATGGTGGCACCATCATTGGTTACAGTCACATCACCATCCTTATCCACCATCATTTTATCAAGCCCTAAAGAAAAAACATTAAAATAGTTCAGAGATTTGAAATTCAGCAAATAAAACTGATCAAAAACAGAACTGGAATCTTACCATTAGGTCCAAGTGATGTTCTCATTGTATTTGACACAGCCTTTGCCGCCATTATGTGAGACTAAAAGAAACAAACAAAAGAAGTGAGAATGAAATTGGCCAATGATGATGGCAAGGGAAAGACTCTCAACATAACAAAAGGAGGGAACTCATTTACAAAATACTAAGTCACAGCCATCGGTTGTTTAATTTAACATTGATATGCGATAACTTCTAAGAGTTCTGCTATCTTGAACTGTTATTTAAAGTTTATTTTTTCCCTTATTTTAACAAATTTCCAGTCTTATGCTTCCTAGCATCTCCAATAGCATCCACACAATACCAAAAAACACCCCACTGTCAATTGATATTTCATACTTACCAAAATTATGTCCATTTTAACTGTAGGCAGTTTATATTTTAGTTGTACTATTTACGGAATTAAACACCCACATAACCACCGTGCTGTCAAATAGGGCCTATAATTCCGAGAGGAATCTTATGATCTATACTGGCAGTAACCAGTGGTTTAATGTCTAGTTGTTTTATCAGTTTGAAGAGCAAGGGGCTCTACAAAGCCTACCAGTTCTTTAAAAAAAAATGTTTTTTAACTTTTTGGTCAGAAGTACTGCAATCATCAACCAACTAAGTTTGAAACCTTCCAACTCCTAACTCTCTCACCACATCTACTGACCAAATTGTGAATGCCACTTTTTTTCCCATTTCCTTACCTTAGTTCAAGCTCTTATTATGTAATACTGTATTACTGCAAATACTTTCCTTGCTTCTCCCTTCAAATTTTCCTAAAATGAGGTTATCTTCCTGATATTAAATTTTGATCTTTAAGATTTTTTACCTGAGAATTAACAGTTTTCCAGGATAAAATCCAAACTCTTTACTTTTGCATTCAAGGTTCTTCACAATGTGCTTCCTACCTTCCCTTTCCCTTATCTCCTACTATAGCCTACCTGTTGTTCTAAGACATCCCTTCTACTTTTCTTTCCTGCTTTTGTTACTGATATACATTCTATCCAAAAACACTGCACTACTCTTATCTCTTCATGTAAACTTTACAGCCATTTTTCAAAGCTAAGTTAAAAAAATAACCACCTCTAGGCAGAGTTTTTGGACTCCAGGTCAGAAATAATCTTTGCCACTTCTAACTCCTATTTCTTCACTTACTATTATTCATGCCACTGCTGCCTTATGATGTATTTATTTTTGCACATATTTCAGCCCCTTCATTGGATTTTAAGATCATGGAGGGCAAAGACTATTGTATCAGGTATAGAAAGCAATCACTAAATATTTGATTAAGTGAATGAAATCAAACCAGTATAGCCAATTCCCCCAATAGCAAATCAACTAATTCTGCACCAAGGAGATATACATATATATACACACACAAATTTTATTTTTCATTACAACCTTTATGACCTTTAAAATACAAGTGCTTTCTTTATTTTTTTTCATTCTGACAACTTAATATTCCAAAACAATAGTCATCTTCCCCGTCCCCCTTTCCCAACCATCTTATAACCCTTTTATGGGCCACACTCTTGGTTTTCCTCTTTACCCCCCAACAATGGTAAGGGAAACTGAGTTCTAGGAAGGCAAATGCACTAGACAAACCACACAGGCAGGATGCTGATCATTCCTCTAGATCACAGGTTCTTTTTTTCAGGCAATTGGGGTTAAATGACTTGCACAGGGTCACAAAGCTAGTATGGGTCTGAGGCTGGATTTGAACTCAGGTCCTCCTGACTTCAGGGCCAGTGCTCTATCCACTGAGCCACCTAGCTGCTCCTAGATCACAGGTTCTTAACCTTTTTTTGTGGAGCCCATGGATTCCTCTGGTTGTTTGGTCAACGTTACGAATCCTTTCTCAAAAGTGAAGAAAAAGTGTATTTCAGTTAGAGGTTAAAAAACAAAAAACCTCAAGTCAACAAATATTTATTAAGCTCTTCTATGTGCCAAGTCCCCTGCCCCACTTAAAAAGATGGAAAAATTTAAAAAAAAAAGGGGGGAGAAAGAGAAATACAAAGGACCAAAAAACCCCCAAAACATTCACATAGAAAACAAAACCAGCTACTATCCCTGATCTCAAGGATCTCAAAGTCAAATGGAGGAGACAACACACAAACAAATACGTACAAACAAGATACAGACATGAAAAATTCAATGTCATCTCTTTAAGAAGGTCCTAAGACTAAGGAGGACTGGGAAAGGCTTCTTGTGGAAGGTGAGGTTTTACCTGAAACTTGAAAGAAGCCTGTGAAGACAGAGGACAACGATAAAGAGTCAAAGAAGAGTTCTAGGAATAGGGAACAGCCAGTGAAAATGCCCAGATTTGGGAGATGGATTGTCTTATTTGAGCAAGAGCAAGGAGGCCAGTTTCACTGTATTGAAGATAAAATTATTCCCCCATCCAAGTTCCTGGACCCAAAGAACTCTATTTGTGGACCTCTAGTTAAGAAACCTTGCTCTGTATCAGCGGTTCTCATCTGATTTTAGGAGCCTCTCACACTCTTAAAAATGAACTCTCATCCTCTCTCCTCCCCCCAGCTTCTGCTTATGTCAGTTACCATCTATCCATACTTACTCATTACAAATTTAAACGTATTAGTATTATAATGAAAAGTTTTGACTTTGTGGTTCCTGTTTAAGGGATCTAAGGGAAGTGTAGGGGACCCTGGACCACACTTAAGAGACATGCTCACATAGGGATCTCCGATATGTCCCTACCCTTTGTAAAAATAATTGGGGCAGTATCCACTAAACACCCAGAAATCCAACTCCTTTAAAAAAGAAGCCAGTGATAAATAAAGCTATTTTCACTTGTTACTTATTCCAGTCTCTTTTGGGGAAAAGGTAAATTTCTTAACTTCCACCTAGGTACAGGTGTTTTATGATGAGCAGAGAGGGTTTAAATAAGGTCATCACTCTCACATCATTGAAGTAGCATGTGAGTGATGTCATAAGGACTTAGATTATATTATCCCTTTTTTTCAGTCACTATTGTTTCCCTGGAATACTATCTAGCTAGCATCCAGAATAAGTCTGAAAGGTGTGTCTACATCTTGTTATTCAAGAGTTGTTTCCAACTCTTTAGTGACCCCATTTGGGATTTTCTTGGCAAAGATACTGGAGTGGGCTGCCATTTCCTTCTCTAGCTCATTTTATAGATGAGAAACTGAGGTAAACAGGACTAAATAACTTGCCCAGGGTCATAATGCTAGTAAGTATCCAAGGCCACATTTGAACTTTGGTATTCCTGATTTCAAGCCTGTCACCTAGCCTAGTTGCGCTATTAACGAATGAAAGATGAAACTGAAATTTATGGTATAATAATAATTCATTTCAACATTCATTCATTTAATCAATAGCTTATTCCATCATCAAAACAACATGAAGGCAATACCCTAAAGTTGATCTTTCTTACCATCATTTCACATATCTATTTCACCACTTTGCATCTGCTTCTCTGCCTGGTACTCCAGGCCAGGCACTTTTCTTTTCTTTTTCCTGTCCTTTTAATATATTGTCATTAAGTACTTTTAAAACCTTTTTTTAATTTTTTCAACTATATATTGGTGCTCTAACTTCTTAGTCATTAATATTAGCACATAATTAGTTTATTGGCCAAGATATTGTCATCTTGTATAGATTATAGAATTTCAGTGTTATAGGGGTTTTGCAGGTCATCTTGTCAACCTGTTTCCCCTTTTAAGGTGAGGAAATTATGCTCAGAGAGGCAGAATGATCATCTAATATCATACAACCAGGTAGTTAAAGATCCCAAAATATAACTTGTGTTTCCTGCCTCAGTTCATATTTATTTCCTCCATGTTTTCATCAAAAAGACCCTGGAGTCTATTCAAGCTCCATTTTACAGATGAAGAGTCTCATTGAAGTAAAATGGCTTGCTCAGCCACATATAAAGTACAGTACCCAGCACATATTAGGTATTTAGTAAGGGCAGCTAGTTGGTTCAGTGGATAGAGACCTGGGATTGGCATTAGGAAGACCAGAGTTCAAATCAGGCCTCAGACACTTACTAGCTGTGTGACTCTAGGCAAGTCACTAAACTCTGTTTGCTTCAGTTTCTTCATCTGTAAAGTGAGCTGGAGAAGGAAATGGGAAACTGTTCCAAGATCTTTGCCAAGAAAACCCTAAAAGGGGTCATGAAGAGTCAGACTCAACCCAAAGGACTGAATAACAAGGTGCTTAATTAATAAGTTAATTAATAAAAGCTTATTGACTGACTGGACTGACTTTTTAGGTCTGGCACTCTATCTATTGCGCCACTTAGCCCACACTACTTACTGCCTTACTTTTTGGGCCCCAGCCTACTCTAACAGCCTGTTTGCTGAAATGGGTTAGGTGCTTACAGTATCAAGCTTAATTGAAGGTCAACAGAATCCAAAAGTATGTTAGAACTGAAGGTAAAGAAGTCAATGGTATACAGGTTGAAAGACAATAAGAGCTATGAAAATATACATAAAATCCTTAAAATTTACCTTAACCCTGCGCTTCATACTAAAGACACAGGAAACTATTATTTAAACATGAATTTTTCTCAGGCTCCTACTCCACAATTTGCCTAAGGCAACTTCTTTCACTCAAAGAATTTCATCATTTCTTTTTATAAAAAGCCATCTCCAAAGGAAAATTAAAACAAAAATATTCTTAAAGTCCAGAATTATTCAACAGGGAAGTATTTTAAAGTAAGGTTATGCTATGTGTAAAACTTGAACTCAGCCCATCCTGAATATAAGATCTCTTCTACCTTTCAAGTCAAGATTCAACTTTTTAAAAGCTCCTGCTAAATCCAACAATTATCCTGCATCTATGTGGCATTAGGTAAGCAACATCATACAAAGTAAATTCAGTTTTTCATCCAAATGCACTTAATTTCAAGACAAGGGGCAGAGCCCCAATCTTTTCTTTTTAAAGCTGTAATTGTGGCTAATAAAAAGCCAACAGCTTGTCTGGTATCATCTCCTTTTCTATTCCTACTCCCAATACTTTAATCCAGATTCTTATACTTTCTCATAAGGAGAAATTAATCAGCTTCTTGAGAGGTTTTTCCTGCCTCCAGTGTACAATACTAAAACCATCCAAAATATACTTTCTGAAAACCTAGCAAGCCAAGTCCTAACTCCTTACCTGCACATCCAAGGTTCTACCATCTGGTCCTAACCTACTTTTCCAGACTTACATCCCCCCCTCCCCTTATGGTCCATCCCTTCAAACAAGTCAACTCCTTGTTCCTTGAAGATGCTCTTTGTTGCCTCCCTGACTTAGTTTACGTTCTCCGTACACCTTGCTTAAATCTTACTCATTCTTTAAAAGCCCCATGTCAAAAACTTTACCTCATCCATAAGGTCTCCCTTTATTACACCAGACAAAAAGAGGTTATTAAATTCCTAAAGCCAGGAAGCCCGCAGAATGTATCCTGCTTAATATTACACACACGTTTTTCCGCTCCATTACAAGAGATCAACTCCCCAAGGCCAAGGAGCTTGTTTTATTTACCATATCTCTAAGGTACTGAATAAATAAAGAGTGAATAAACGACACTTGTACATTAGTGGGATGCAGTGGAGGGTACCCAGAAGCTACTGTTTCGGCTAAATGATTAGTTAATTGTGGAATAAGTAGCAAATCTACAATTAACCTTTATTTAGAAGGTGTTCCTAAAATCTTACTGCGGTTTTAGATACACCCTGTAAAGGACACAAAAAATACAAAAACCGGGTCAATGGAAGGCCTAAGTCCCCTGGACGTAGGCGCTATACTCTTTTAGACGCAATCTAATAAACTATGGGCTTCCAAATTGCCCCACCCCCAATAAACCCTGGGTAATAACTATGCCCTTGCTGTTTAGAAGGCCCACGGAAGCTCTTCTTCCCGGAGGTCGGGGGGGAGGGTCACGCGTGTGCCTTGAATGGGGTAGGGAGCTCAATAGGAACCGGGCAGGAGAATTTCTCGGTCCTTCCCAAGAGCACATGGCGGAACCCTTCCCCAGCCCTCGCGCACGCGCAGGAAACGCCGGCTCCCGGGGCCTCCCGTTCTTCGGGAACCAACGACTCCGGGATCCGTTACCTTGAGGGCCTCCAGTCCCATAAGGCGAGACTTGCGCTCTTGGTCCTTGATGATGAGGAAGGGACGGCCATATTCGTCAAATGCCAGAGTCCCCATGGAAGACATGGTCCCGCTAGAAGGGATCCCTCCCAGCAACCGGCGGAGACGATCTAAGTGGGAGGGAAGCCACCGCTCGCTCTCGCGACAAACAGCGTTTCAGCACTTCGCGCAGGCGCAGTTGACTCCTTGTGATTTATTTTTCAACTGAGACTAATGTCACGCCTGGTAGCACTTTCTGGAATCAGCCGCCCTCGGAGACAACCATTATGTAGAAAATGGCGGGGGGGAGTTTGAGGACGCTACCAAAGACTGATTGGAATTTCTTTCCCTGCACGCAGATTTTCCAAGGGAGAAAGTGTTTTATTTCGCCCTAAAACTAAAAGCGTCCCGAAATTTCTGGATACCGAGGCTGAACAAAAAGTTTGTCTCTTCGAAAGAGTCTTCTTCCTATTCCTCCTCCCCTACCTATCCCGTGGAGATGGTCGTGACCCCTCCAGCAGCTGCCGGAGTTCTCGCGATGGGGGAAGGAAGAGGAGGTCAGGCCAGTAACTAGGGACTGCGGGTTACCCTGGCGTGTTCCGTCCTCGCTGCCGGCGGGAGGGAACCTAGGAAGGAGGGGTGGCTCCGTGCAACGTGCCCGCTCAGCCTCTTTGCTTTGGCTGTGAGCGTGGCGGCGCCTCCTTGTGCGTGGGGGTGGGGGCGGGAGCCGGAGCCGGGGCCGGAACCGGAGCCTCGACTCCGCTTCGCTCTGTGCGCGCGCGGCAGGCCCTGGCGGTTGGGAGCGCGCTTGGCCGTTAACGTTCCTGGACTTGGGTTGGTCTCGAGCCTCGGGGTTGGCGGGGGGAGCTTAAGCCCATTTAACGTGTAAACTCCCGGCATCCTTTGAGCCAGTGGGTCTTGACTCTCAAGTCACCTGCCCCGATTCCCAGCCGCCATCCACCGACATGCTCCGCCCTCCCTGCCCAAATCTCAAGTGCATCCACTGATTATTAACATTTCTGACTCTTAGGAGGGCGGAGACGTTCACTGGGTCCAGAAATATTTACTAAGCGTTTACGACGTACAGCATGCTGTGCCTGTTCCCTTTTAATTCTAGTGCCTTCTCTGTGTTAATTATTTACTATTTATTCCTCATAGAGCTTGTTTGTATGTATTTGTATGTTGTCTCCCCCGTTAGATTGTGAGCTCCGGGTGGGCAGGGGCGGTCTTTTGCGTCCCCTTTGTGCACTTAGTGTAGTGCCTGGCACATATTAGGCACTCTATGTTTTAGGCGTTGTTGTCTAACTTGAAATCCGCATAGCTTAGCCCGGTGCCTGGTATGTTGTAAGCGCTTAATAAATGTTCGTTAACGGATGGAGCTGGGCCCGGTACTGACTGGTCTTTCGAATTTTATGTTGGTGAGATCTCGGGTGGAGAGGGCACGCGTGCCCGCCCGTGCCCGGGGCCTCCCTCACCAGGTCCAGGGCCCGGGGAGTCCACCGCCCTGTTCTTCAGAGTGATCCACGCATATTGCTGTGAATTTACATTTTCAGTGAATTCACAAATCAGTAATGATGTAGAAATAAAGTATCCCAAAGTCCAAGGTGATTTTTAGTTTGGCACTTTTGAGTGATTTTTTTTTGTTTTAACAATGATAAACATATTTGAAAAGAACTTTGGACTGGAAGTCAGGAGAATGTTTGGGTCTTAGTCCTAGCTTCCTCACTGGAGCATCAGAGGTCCTTTAGTTTGAAAAAAAAAAATATGTGTATATATGTATATATATGTGTGTGTGTATATATATATGTGCATACATATATATATATTTATAACATTCAATATGATTGGTTTCCTTTGTAATTCCATGTATTTTATGTTCTTGAGGAGGGGTCCATGGGCATTACCAATTTACCTAAGGGATCCATGACAAAAAAAAAGTTAGGAACCTCTGTCCTAGAATTCCTGTGGCAGTCAGTCAGTCAGTCAGTCAATTAGCCTAAGTGCTTCCTATGTGTCAGGCACTGAGCTAAAGCTGTAAAATGATAATGATTCAGGGCTTGGTGCTCAGGCAAGAGGGCCCTCAACTTCAGAAGCACAGCTTGCAGGAGTGGGTCGGATTGGGACATAAAACTATAAATAATGTACACTTAATGCTTATTGAATTGAAATGAAGTACACTTTGATGCTTTTTATGTCTCTTAATAAACAGAGTTCCCACAGGATCAGAGTAGGTAAGTTGTATCCCTAAAAGGTTAGTCATAGAGTCAACCTAGGAGAGCGTGTTCATCAAGATGTCTTGATGTCCAGGATGTATTTGATCCCTTTTGTGAGTCTTAAGTTTGCATCCCTATTGACATGGTCCCAATGGCCCTTAATTCCCACCTTCCACTCTGCTTGTTATAATTCAATTCTACAAACATTTTTAAAAATTAAAATTTCATTTATATCTTATGTTTTTATATAGCATATATTTTTCCACTGAATTCCTTCCTCTTACTGCTCCCAGAGAGCCATTCCTCATAATAAAAAATAAGGAAGAGGGGGAAAAACAGTTTAGAACTAACCAATATGTTGAAAAAGGATAGCATTATATGCAGTGCTTCAGAATCATAGCTCCCTACCTCTACAAAGGTTTGAGGAAGTACCTTCTCATTTCTCTTTTTGTTGGGGGCCAAACTTGGTCATCATATTTTCACAGTATTCAGAACCAATTGTTTTATTGTTATTCTCTGTTTACTTGTCTGTAGTTATTGTGTGTTTTTTTGCTGCCTCTACTTCAGTACTACTTTACTTAGTAAACATTAACCTCCTACTAAGTGTCAGATACTATGCTGTGCTCTGGAGATAGAAAGGAAAGGCAAAGGAAAACACCTGCCCAGAAGGAGCTCACAGTCTACTGGGGGAGATAACTTGCAAAAAACTCTGAACAAACTATAGATGGGAAAAACAGGAAATAATCAATAGATGGAAGGCACTAGAATTAAAAGGATTGGAAAAGGCTTCCTTTAGAAGGTAAGCTTTTATCGGGGACTTGAAGGAAGCCAGGGAAACCAGGAGGCAGAGATGAGTTCACATAAATCTTCTCATAATTCTCTTCATTGTTTTTCATTTCTTGTGGCACAGTCATTAATAGTAACAGGCTATTAGGGTTATTTAATATCTCTAGGGTGTTCCAAAGGTCTTACCACAATTTTAAGAAACGTGCATTAAGACTTACAAAATTTAAGTTAAGCTTTTTTAAAGCTTTTGTTGTAAGCTCTAATAGCTTAAAATTCCTCTAAGACTTCTGGAACACCATATACAAATAACTATAATAACATGCATGAGAGACTTGTTTGTTAAAATGCTATATATGACATAATGAAGATGGGGAAAGAGAGGAAGATCATTAAATCATTTGGCTAGTATTTTGTCTCTGGAAAGATCACTAGTAAGGATTATCCCCATATATATGAAAACACCTATTCTGGGATGTAGGACTTGTTTGAGCATTTTCTGTATTGGTTCCTCCACTAATTTAAGGTATACATCCCAGATGAGCTCTAGTCAAAGGACTACAAGCTTTTGGCTTACTTATTCTGCCTCCTCCCTCCACAACTGCTACAGGCCAAATCATCAAATCATGGACAAGCATATCTATTTCCCATAGCAAAATATTCTTTGTTAAGTGTTGTTAAAATCTGGCTGAATATTTCCATATATCTTTAAATAACAAGATCTCTTTCTGGCACTTTAAGTATCTTTTTTTGTTTGTTTGTTTTTAGTGAGACAATTGAGGTTAAATGACTTGCCCAGAGTCACACAGCTAGGAAGTATTATGTGTCTGAGGTCGGATTTGAACTCAGGTCCTCCTGACTCCAGGATTGCTGCTCTATCCACTGCGCCACCTAGCTGCCCCAAGGTCTCTTTCTGAAAACTCTTCAATTATACTTCTAAGGTCAACATCTTTATTCCTTGGATCAGTCTTAAGAAATAGCTAACATTAAATTTGGTGGATTGGTATGTTTGGCAAATTCTTAAGTATTGCCTTGTATTAGGGATTCAGAGATGAAAAACAACATAGTACCTGCCATCGAGGAACTCACAGTCTTTATAGGCAACACACATGTGTACTCTAAACTGTAAACTTGATGAAGGATATTTTATCTAAACTTCTTATTTCCCTTGTCACCAAGTACATTACTTTCTAAACAGCAGGCGCCTTACCAAACATTTCTGAATGAACAAAAGTGCCACAAGGTAGAATGTGATGAATGCAAAGAGATGGTTCAAATAAAGTGGTATAACACTATTGAAATTTAAAGGAACATATATATTTTTGGACATAGTGCAGGAATTTATTTTGCTTAACTATGTATATTTGTTAAAAAGGTTTTGTTTTTCTTTTTCATTGGGGTAGGGATGGGGAGTGGTGGGAGGGAGAAAAGGTGGATTTTTGATCATTGAAAAAAATACACTTGGAGAGGTCACTTATAAGAAACCTTGAAAACTTCTTGATTGTTGATTTATTGAACAATTATTTATTAAGCTCCTACTATGTGCCAGGCACTGTGCTGCAAGGCTCTGGTAAATACTGAAATAGATAAGACACCGACCCCACTCTCATGAAGTTCACAGTTGAGGAAAGACATTGATATAAGGGAGTCAAAGACAAAAGTGCAAGAGAGGTATAAACTTCAGGGAGAAATTTTTGAGAGAAGGTAGGTAATGTTGCTAGCTTTGGTGTCTTTTAATTCCTTCTGTGTTGTTTGTCCCAGCATCAACAACTCAAGTGAATGTAAAGCTTTGGCCTAGTTCCCTACCAATCAAATAAGATATTACAAATGAAAGCACTTTGCCTCTGTATTGTTTGTGAACCTCATTCACAGGGTGAAAAACAGAATCAGTGACTTTAGAGTCTAGAATTTTCTTAGACAAAGTGGTGGCTTAAGGTTAGATATGATTACCTTGAGGGATAACTCTTCAGTTAGTTGATAATGGCAGAAAGTTCACAAAATTTCAGAAATCTGAATTGAAAGAAATTTCAGTGGTCATCTAGTCCAGAATAGAAGTTCCTACTATAACAAATATTCTGATAAGTGGCCACTACACTTTTTTTTTAAAAAATTTATTTTTTATGTTTTTTTTTATTAATTTATTTTTAGTTTTCAATATTCAGTTACATAAGCTTTTTT